CAACGTGGGGCTCAACAAATCCAGTGTATCCAACAAGTGGGAGGGTAAGATGTATGTTAGCCTTACCTGTACCTGTACCCATACAAAGTAGTTTGTCTTTGAAAGAATCTCGGCTCAAAATGAATAGAATCAAAGTATGTTAGCCTAATGTTAACGAATAAGTACTTCATTCTAAAATAAATGCAACAATCAATTTTTTCACATTGTATTGTTTGTCAACACATTCAAAACTAAAAAAAGGGAAAGGATCTTTTGACATTGTATTTCTTGCATTAAAAAATACATTGGAATTCAACATCTTTTGTTTGGAATATCATTACTAGATGCTAGCAACACTAATTCTTTTTCTTAAAGGAAATTTACTTATATAGTACTAAATCATAGCTATTTTCCCAATGTAGTACTTAATGTTTTAATTTCCCTGTATAGTACTTAAATTATTTATTAATTATTTAATATTAGTCCAAAAATTCAAAAATACCCTTCTCGGGTAACTATAGTTTGCAGTATAGAACTGGCCTTTCCCTCTCCCGCCCATACGGCCATATCTATCCTTCAAAATAGGGGTTTAGGTACTATAATTAAATTCTATTTAGGGAACAAATTTTTTAAGGTACTATATATATGTATATATTTACACACACACACAGATATAGATAGATAGATAGATCAGTAGTTTTAAGTACTATATTGAATAATGGGAAGGGCATGGTAGTCAAACTCGCGATCCGGATTGTAGGATTCCGTGCATCGCCAGCCTATTTCCGATCAAAATCGCACTGAAAATTGCAAATTACATTGGAATCGGCACGATCGACGATCTGGATCGTAAAATTGATTGAGATCGCCGATCGAAAAGAGAGATGAATACACATGCGGAAATTCGAAAAGGTTTTGTTTCGTCGTTTTGATTTTTACGCGAGAATGAGACCTTTTCCAAGCGATTTTTCCCTGTGTGTAAATACACCCCTTCTCCCACACGCACAAATACCCACATAGTTACAACCCACATCAGCCATGGCACTCCTCTTCGAGCTTCGCTACTTGCCTACTACCTTCGGCCTTCGCACGCGGTTGTCACTTTTGCCCAGTTAATTTACGAGTATGTTTCTTTTTTCTTTCTGTTTTAGGTTTCTAGGCTTTGGCAGTGATTGTTACCTACTGGTAGCTATTTTTATCTACTTCCCTACTGGTAGTGCTTTTTACCTACTGGCAGTCATTTTAAAATTCTTACCTACTGGTAGGAATTTTCTTTTTTTAATAATTTGTTTCCAGTTTCCTTTTAGGCTTCTGGCAGTGATTTTTTTGGTCAAGTTTCTTTTTTTCTTTTTAATTTATTACCTTTGTCTTCATAGTTACTATACAAAATTTATAACCTTCATATTTAATTTATTACCTTTATTATATGTGTGTGTGTGTTGTGTGTACATATATATACATACATACATA